AGTTCACTTAATTGCAGGCTATTTATCATATTTTAAATTATTTCTCTGTGTTACATCATTTAATCGAACCAGCCAGAAAACAGGAAGAAGGGTAAATAAATACTTGTGTGTATGTAGAGGGCAATGAAATATATTATCATGTCTTCTTGTCTCTGCTTCTGTCGACTTTTTTTTTTTTCCACAGAATAATGTTTTCAGTCTATACTGTTAAACCTTAAGGAAATAGCCTCATGTCTGTTCTCAGGATGTTTTTGAGGGTGTTGCTTATTACATAAGACAGTAAATTCTTCACAAGGACTCTGGAGAGCAATTTATTTCTGATCTAGGACTCAAGAATAATTACGATTCTCCTGAGTTACTAGCTTGTTTTTTTTCCCCCCTTAGGGACAATCAGTGTGTAACTGATTAGGTTTTCTTTGAGAATTGCTTATTAGAATGTTTAGAGTCAAATGGATTGCCCACCCACATATAACAAGGGTTTGAAAGTTTATGGTAGCCTCAATTCTGACTCCATGTTGGGATGTCCTTGTTTTTCCTTTATATTTTCCATCTACTTCAAATGTATCATCAGTGTTACATGTAAACATCCAGAAATGTTTTTGGAAAAGGGTAGAGGTATACATAAGTAATTGTACTATAACAGGCCATCCAAAACTGGTCTTACTGGCTTTTTTCTTTCCGTTTCCAGATTGAGATGCTACCAGATGGGCTGTTTCAGTGCAAAAAGCTGCAGTGTTTACTTTTGGGGAAAAATAGCCTGATGAGTTTGTCCCCTCACGTGGGTGAGCTGTCGAACCTTACTCATCTGGAGCTCATTGGTAATTACCTGGAAACACTTCCTCCTGAACTGGAAGGGTGTCAGTCCCTAAAACGGAGCTGCCTGATTGTCGAGGAGAACTTGCTCAATACTCTTCCTCCCCCTGTCACAGAACGCTTGCAGACGGGCTTAGATAAATGTTGACCTACAGAGAAAACTCCTAAAAGTGTGCCCCAGGGCTTTAAATGAGAAAATTTCCTAACTTATAAAGATTTTTAAAATGGGTAATAATTATGACTAACTATAATCAAATGTTTTATTAAAAAGCGTCTCAGTGTCTAAGTAAACAGGTAAAAAGTGTTAACACTGAAATGAGTTTTGTGAATAATTGATCTTTTACTTATTGACTTGTAAGAAGTACGCTTTGAGCGTGGAATGGAGGACATGAAATTATTGAATGTCCACCTTGCAGTTATTACCTTGAAGATTAGATATTCTTTCCTCTCCATCCCCAGCCCCATGACTTATTTGCACACTTGTTTTAACTGACGTCCTGTTTGGATATTTATCAGCTAGACCATAAACTCATCAATATAAATGCCCTTGATGTACACTCAACGCTGTCTTTGATTTGTGTTCTTAATTATTTTTAGGCAGGGTGTCTGGTGCTTGGCAGAATTCCTTCTTGGTTTTTTATTTCCTGTCCCAGCTTGATTGAGTCTTCCTTCCTGTGGTTTTCTCTTAACAATGATGAACCTGAGAAAGTGCCTGCTTTGGGCCTCTGCATAGCACAGGAGCAGGGTACTTAGGACATGTCACCCTTGGGACATCCTGAAAATCCATGTCTTCTCCAAGATTTCTTCTTGTGTATCATCAAAGCTTTTTTTTTTATTTGCTCGTGTTTATATTAAATGTAAAACATAAATATTTTTATTGCGTAATCTTGGATTCAAAATCTGTGGGAATAATTTTTGTAAGGTACAGAGAACACATGCATTTCTGTAATCCAAGATTTCTTCTTGTGTATCATCAAAGCTTTTTTTTTTTTATTTGCTCGTGTTTATATTAAATGTAAAACATAAATATTTTTATTGCATAATCTTGGATTCAAAATCTGTGGGAATAATTTTTGTAAGGTACAGAGAACACATGCATTTCTGTAAGAATTTACTATTAACATGCTTGGGGTTTTTTTTTGCCTGCTTATGATTCTCATGTTTGTGTGCATTCTCCAAAATGTTTTTGTACTCTGCAACTAATTACTTTTGGATAACAAAAGCCTTGTGTTTCATGCCCTAAAATATGTAAGGGTTTCCTTATAAAAGGATGGCCACATCATCTACCTCTCTCTTCCCTTGTTGCTGTGCTATTATTGTACGGGTACAATTCTTAATAACTTCAGAAACTGTGATGGAGGGGAGAGGTAGAGATTTCAATCTTTAAAACTGACTTCAAAATACCTTGTAGAAATTAAGAGTTAAACCAAAACACTTTACTTTCTTCTCCATCTGCATGATCTGTAGATATGATTATAATGTAAAACACTCAGCCTCTATTCATTGTTTAAGATGAGTTCTCAAAGCTCACAAAGAAATAAACCCATTTAACTGGAATTCATCTCATGCTTCTGGTTAACTTTTCTGGAATACAATTTGCTCTTTTTTTAAAAAAGAGCTTTTGTGTTTGGCCTTCTACCGTGCATATTGTAAAACGAAAATCAACGGACTCATTTTGGGTAAATGTACATTTTTAATGTGTTTCTCTAGGCATTATGATGCCATCTAATTTTTGGTGTGACTATGAAGTAATTGATTAACCGCACCTAGACAAAACTGGAAAAACACTATGGGTAAAGAGTACCGTAAACATGGAATTGTGATTTTTGCTGTTTTTCTTGCTTTGCCCATTCCAAAAAGATGAAAGTGAGTCTTTATAACAAAATGTAGCTTCCCTCTCCTGCCACACACACCTGGACTGAATCTCAGAGAAAGAATTGTTTGCGTCAGATGAATTTGAATAATATTAGCTATAAAAATTATAAAACACCAAAGGCTGCCTAAACCTTATGGTTTATTCTGAATGAGAAGGAATGGTATAAAAATGTAATTCTTACCAAAACTTGCCTTTAGTCAGAACATTCAAGTTCTCAGGGACCCAGGCATAACTGATGAAACTTTCTTCTAGGACTTCAGAAAACAGATTCTGACTATATCTAGAGTTTTTTGTTGTCATTTTTCCTATTTTTAATGTGAGTTGATGCTCATTTTCATATTTCACAATAGAATTGTCATGTGTGTTGATCCCGTGTTAGATAGGATTATCTTAAGTTTTGGATGTGAACAAGAAACATGGAGAGGTATGTTCTCAGAACTTAAATGTTTGGGGACAAATAAATAGCCATAATTTGTATGAAAATTTTCATCCTCTTTTCTAAAGAAGAGTTTTCAAAACAAATTTTAGATTGTTACCATTTTCCTGACAAACTAGTTATCCCTGGCTAGTCACTGGTTGTATTCACATGCAAAAGTCATTGGATAATCTATCACCTCTCTCAATTTCCGAAAGTGAGTTACTATCAGGATTAATAGTGACTATTGTAAGCTTCTTTCCAAACATAAGGGTGTAGTAACTGGTGCAAACTCTGTTCTCAATGCCCTTAAAAAGTTCTCAGATTTCTTTCTTATTTCATCCTTACACACCAGTGTTTAGGTAGCTTTTGAAATGACGTCACACCAATGCAATGAACTCTGAGACCACCACCTGACACACAAAAGGGGTTTAATGCCACCTTTCCTGCATGGTTGGAACAGATCATTTTATGTGTGTTCATATTCGTGTAAGGGGAATTTAAATGGAGAAAATGAAGTCGGTTCACTTATAATTGTGAGACTTTAGTTGGCGTTGATTTCCAAGAATGTGCAGTACATTTTCCAAAAAATAAACATGGATGTTATTCCGAACAAAGTTAATGGCATTGGTTCATTTTATTTGCATGCACACACATAGAGACATGCATACACCTATATATGCACAATGTAACGTGAGTCTTGGATATGTTTAGTATTTTTTCCCAAAGTTGCAAGAGGATATTTTTTATTCATATCTCATAATTATGGAGTGTTTTTTTTCTCTTAGTTACATTTTTTAGAAACTGATTGCTCAACCTTAGCCTGAGAACCTAAGCAGTTTTAAGCATTTCTGGTAAGATATAGTGTTCCTTTCCTAACCAGCATCAGGGTGACTCTGACACTTAGATACTGTGTTTTCATTCTTCACCCTCAGTCTTAATTTCCCCCTGGATGTCACCATGTGTCACTGTTGCTTAAAGAATGTTTGTGTGAAACAGGGTAGAGATCCTCAGAATCTCAGCACTGTGGCATACACAGCGTGTGTGTGCTGGGGTGAGCTGCAGTGAGGTATTTGCAGACCTTTGTTGGGTGGTGAAAATATTTGTTTTTGTTCAAGTACTTCATGATTCAAATTTTGTATGTTTAATTAAAACTGCATAATATTGATGGGTTCAGAAACTATTCTAATAAACAATTCTGTGGATTTATAGCTTTATCTCCTTGTATTTTCAATAAAATGCTCTTTCCGTCTTTGTTCTCTTATCATTGTCCTGTATACATAAGGTATTTTGTTTTCTCCCTCCACTCACTCACCTCCTTAAATTTGATCAGCACTTGTACAGTAACAATGTATTTGTGCTAGGGAACTGACAGTGATACCTGAGGAGAAGCCAGAGCCTATAATCATGCCTAGTTGAGTAGTTCTACCTTTCCCACCCCTGCAGCATTTAGAGCTAATCCAATGGTCCTCCATCTCTCCTAAAAGCATGAGAATATAACTGTAAGTCGGTTTTCAGGAACTGTATATTGCATTAGAATCTGTGTTTATTTTTTCTGGAAACAAGCGGAAGGCTGATGGGAGAGGGGAAGAGTTATTTTGTACCCTTGTTTAAATTATGACGACACATACATGAAACTTGCAAAATGCCCTAAATATAATTCTCATCTTCAGCCGGATATGAAAGCTGAAGCAGTGGAAAATCTGCAGTCCTATTTAATTGCTTTCTTCCTGTTTCTGGTCCATCACCTCTCTATCCACCGGGAACTATCTATTAACTTCCTTTGGTAATGAACTGCATTCTCTTAAAATTTTTTTTTACATGAACAATCTCATCACCACGAAAGCATTAACATAGAAAATATAAGCCAAAGCACTGAATTGAGATGGTATCCAGTTGAACTTAATTTATACTGAAGTTTTTGCGTTTGACTTGTATAATACACTACTGCTAAGAAAAAACAATTATGAGTGCCTCCTGCATGTCATGTATTATCAACAGAGATGGTGCAATTTAAAAAATACAAAGGGGCATAGAATTAGAATGAAAGTCTCTGTGCATATATGTGTTTGTATAATCCTAAATATGTTTAAATATTCTTAAAATTTTTCAAATCTTTCACTTTCGCCCTAGCCAGCTTGGCTCAGTGGATAGAGCATCAGCCTGTGGACTGAAGCGTCCCAGGTTCAATTCTGGCCAAGGGCACATGCTTGGGTTGCAGGCTCCATCCCCAATAGGGGGCGTGCAGGAGGCAGCCCATCAATGATTCCCTCTTATCATTGATGTTTCTCTCCCCTCTCCCTTCCTCTCTGAAATCAATAAAGAAATATATTTAAAAACAAACAAAAACCAAGTGTTTCACTTTCAGTGAAATACTGGGCCAATCTGAAGTAGAGCCATTTACTTGTTAGCATCCCCAGTGAAGGCTAGCATTGCTTATTTTATCTTTGTCCCATATTTTGAAACATACATAATCAGCTTTTGCCTCTGGCAATAACTTATTAGAAAATGTAAGACTTTCGCTTGAGTTGAATGTTTTTGGCCCTCAGGTTTACCATGAAAATCTGCATTTTAGTGGTAAATCCCTTTGCCTGAGATCCGTTAGGTTTGGTAAACTTTACTGTTTTTAAAGTACATTTTGTGTAAAAGGAAGATTCAATTTTTTATAACAAATGGCAAATAAAAAACATTAAAAGTTGAAAGAAGTTGACTACTATTTCTTACCTGTGTCTGCCCGTCAGTGCCCAGGTTCCAAAAGTGATTCCCTTCCTCCTTCCACACTTCCTTGTGCAGCCAGCTGTACGGTTACGTAATTCACCAAATGATAGATTTTAGGTTTACACATGAATCTCATAAAGTCCTATGAGTTTTCAAAATAGCTACAATTGTCACAAAATAGCAAGCCCCTAAAAAGAGCTGGATTGATCCTTGAATGCACGGAGGGGCAGGGGAAGGTGAAACTTGTCACTCTCCTAAGAGGTTCATCTTTCCAACAGTGTTCATCCTTGGGGACCTGAGCTCACTAACCAGCCCATCTCTCTGCCTCTCTTCTTGGCTCCAGGAAAAACACACCAAGAAATGATTTGCAAGATGACATTTTCAGAAGGTTTAGTAAAGGGAGAAAAAATAGAATCATTGGGAAAAAATAGACACATAGTCATGTGATCTTTCTGTTTATTATTTTTAAATCACTTTTTATTTTGATATCTCTCTCTCCCCCCACCCTTCTCTTCCTCTCTCTATTTTAGCGTATACACGCAACCCCCCAACA